CGTAGGTATATTTTGTTGTTTAAAATGCAGTTGTCGGCGTTTTTTAGAGAACTCAAATATAAAAATGGTTGTTTTAAGGTTATGTTTGTGCAAAAATTATTTTTTACTAATTTCTTAAAAATGTCCAAACTTAAATATAAATTATATTAGGTAAAGTTATCATTAGTTAATTCTGCACCACCAAATGTACTTACCGAATTGGATCCCTTGGCAAAACATGAAAATGCAACGATTTAGTTCTTGAATTTTATTTACAATTAAAAACACAATAATTCACCATGATCCCTTAGATGAAATACTCACACTAACGTAACTATATAAGCATTTAAGCGTTGAGTTTCTTAATCAATGATATAAAGAATAATCAATCGAAATCGAGTACTAAACCAGTTTTTTAGTTTTTTCCTTGCAACGTAAAACACAAATAACGTGCGCGATTTAGCTGTGCAATTGAACAAAATTTGTCGAGTAAGACATTGGTAAGGACCAATTTTAAACTTTTTAGTTGAATTTTACTTACCTTGGCGATTAAGGTTTAAGTACCTATATATTTAAGAAATATTTATTTTAAATTCAAATCATTTCTTATTATTAAAATATCATTTATTTGATTAATTTGACTTTCACCCTGTGTCACCAGACGATGCTGTCTGGTCGCGTTTTTTCCAATGCATGGTATAGGTAGTTAAACGTTTTTCGGAAACTCCCAAGATCATTGATCAAGCTGCAGCCGTTCTTCTTAAATCCCAAACAGTAATAATAAACGGTTTAACGGAGAACATCCGCTTGTGAGCTTTTTTTCCTTTTAAAAATTGTGCATTGGGTAACGAAATTTTTGGTTCATTGTCTTTATCATACCGAAAGTCTGTTGTTAATAATGTGCTGCAGTAGGTAGCAGTGATCTCTACTTTACTGTGCTTAAGTTCAGTGTACTTACTCAACCTGTTAATTAGGTAATGTTTTATTATTTATTTATTACCTTAATTATCTTGAATAATTTTATTATTGTTACGTGCCAATAAACATTACGTTATATTCAAAAACATTAACTAAACAGCGGTGAGATTTTGAAACAATAGCTTGGTTTTATTATTTTTATTTTATCCCTACCTATAGCCTATAGGCAAGCAGCATTTTAAGTTTAAATAACTACAAATTTACTACTAAGTCAATTTTTTTTACGGTTAACCAAAACGGTTTTATAACGGTATAGATACAAAAAATTACCAAATTTGGGGGATGGTTTATTTCGTTATTTTACCTACATAATAACCTTTTTGATCTACTAAGAGAATAACGTAATAAAAACAATATAAATACCACAAATTTACGTAAAAATAACGCTATAATTACTAACTGTTTGCTCTCTCTTTCTAAAACATTGACATTCGTAATTTATTTGTTCTTTTAATTTATATTTTACAAAATGGTTCTTATAAAGTAATAAAGGCCACCCTATAGGGTACAGGTATAGGTATACAGTAAAATTAAATAATATAACTTAAATTGTCAAAAATAATAATGTTTTGTATTAAAACTCAAATGCACATTATTTTATTGATAAAAATAGGCACGATACATCTTAAAAATTATATGCCCTCTAAATATTTTACGGTTTTAAGAAAAATTATTGCTTGGGTAAAAATTCAACAAAATTTAAAACCTACACAATTTTATAAAATCTTTTAGTTTTAATAATTGTTTAATAACTAAAACTTTCCTTATTATATTTTAGAAAAATATTTATGGAAATATATTATATAAATGTTTAGATAAGTAATGGATACCATCTTGAAAAAAAATGTATTTTTACTTTAAGCTTATTTTTCCTTTTTTAGTCAATATTAATAGTATTTATTACCACTAATAACCCTAAAAAATACCAGGCGAATAGGAATTATTTACGGTTATAAAGTGGTCTTAATATCGTAAAATTATGACTTATTGTTACTCATTTACCATTAAGTAAAAATTCTGACGTTAAAATTACCGTTAAATTTTCCTTTAGGTGAAATACACTTATAAGTAATTTTCTTTCGTAAAAATTACGTCCCTCATAATACTGTATTAATAGTGTTAAAACTGAAGGGTTATTAAAATAGGTAAAAATAACATAAATAAAACTTATTAAATAACTTTAAAAAAAGTTTTACTTCGAAGTAAATTTTTAAGGTTAATTTAACAAAATATTTACTTAAATTAAGTAATATTACCTATTTGGAGACAAGGTATTATTGTTCTATAAATCTTATAGCTAATTTATTTTTTCACCAATATTAAATATTTTTGTTGTATTTTTTTTACCACGCTTTAGTGGTAAACCATGAATCTTTTTTCCAATGGAAATACATGAATAGTACATAATTTACATACAGGACATAAATTTAATTGACCTGGTGAGGCAAAAGACATTTTTATTTTTTGTATTTTCCACATATTTTTTACCACGTTGTAGTGGTAAACCATGGATCTTTTTACCCATAATATGCGTAATATGCGATATACTCGTACACTTATACAAATGTACTTGCTTTGGTTGGGAAAATTAACATAACATACATTTGTTAGTATATTTTTAAACAATTATACTTAACTAACAAAAGTTATCGTGTTTATCTGCTATAGATTGTAGTGCCCATGAAAATACACTATATAGTTTTATTGAATTAGTACAAGATAAGTAAAATTATCATTGGAAAATCCGACCATTCTTACCAGTACCTACACTTGCACAATAAGTATTGATACAAATGTGGAACAACAAAAAATATTATCTACAACATTACCTGCATATTTTTTAATACTTGAATTTTAACCTCAGTTCCAATAAGTACCAGCATGTTTCAAGTGAATTATATACTGTGACGAATACTTTTTAATTAAGGTAAATAGATTTATAATACTGATATACATGGGTGAATATATTGAGATGTCAGCCAAGGGAAAATGATTATTTTTTATTTTTGGTTGTTTCACTGTTAGTCTAGAATGGGGTTTTTGGGAAGCCACCAGGTCTAGTAATAACATAACATAAGTGGTTCTGCACTAATGCAAGAATTTTAAGAAATCATACATTTTGAATATTAGAGCTTCACGGAGGTTAGGATTTCGTATGTTTTTTTTAAACATCCCTTGGTATATTTGAAATAAGTTATTGTATCTTTTGACACCTTAATATTTAAAAAAAAACAATTGTACATACATAAAATATTTATAAAAAAAATCTACTTACTGAGATATTGCACTTCACGGTGGATAGGTTTTTAAATAGCAAATTAATGAACTTAAACTTTTGAATTATAAAACAGCAACACTCTCATCTGCATATAAATTCTATCTAACCTTCAGGAATCACATGCATCTATAATGTCGTAAACAGAGGTTTTTGCGTATTTAAAATGATTAAAGCGCCATCCGTTGCATAAAATTTAAAGCAAAAACAGATTCACGGAGGATATAATCAATTTTTGTAACACCTACATAAATGGTTATAAAAATTATTTTTTTAATTTTTAATAATATTTTAAATTTGATTCGATTGCTTTGGATGTGTTTAATTTACTTAGTGAACTGATATTTTTAGTATGCTTTTACTACCTCAGATATTTGAAAGCGTATAGGTTAACCTAGAAAGAGTAACAGTCACGGAGGATAGGTTTTAGACTTTTAAAACATTGTAAAAAATAATTAATTGCGGTTAAAAATCTGGGACCTGAAGTGTAATACCTACTTAATTATGAAAGACCAAAACACAATAAAAGTGTTGGTCAAACTCATTTAGTTTTATTAAATATCACGGGGTAACACCTTTGGGGGACATTTTGTGATTCACCCATAAAACAACAATTTTAAACTTAAAATTTCAAGCTTTTGCTTCACATATATTTATATTTGTTCTACAACAGACTGTCTCCATTCGACTGATAATTTTTTTTCACGAATTGTAGTCATCTCAAATATTTGTCTGTAAAAAGTAAAATTTATTTGGGAATAACCGAAATGCCAAAAATCCTAAGTACTTAAGTAATACACTTATTTCGTAAGAAGCCTAATTATTTTATACAAACAATGTGTAATCACCAAGATTAAATTATACGAAATAAGTAGAAAGTTCACATTACCTCACAGGGTTTAAAAATAGGGATTTACAAAAATAAAAACAAAAAAAATGCCTTAACATTGTTTTTTTAATGGAATACCCGGTATATTTCAAAAATATACTATTGTTTTTTAATATGATCTATTTAAAGATAAAAAAAAATCCAAAATCCACTGTAGTTTTTGACTTATGTTAATTTAAATTTAGTTGTTCCGCCACTGGTACATATAGCCAATGGCAAAAAGTCTTTAACCTCATCATGCAAATTATTAACTCATCGTTTATATTAGACATGAAGCTTTAATTAAAGAAAAAAATTAACATAATAAAAATAACAAATATAATAAAAAATTGATTTATACCTGTTAAAACCATTAACCTGCAAAAAACCCAAATTGTCATAAAATTTTATTATTTTTACACGAATTTATTAAAAAAATATGATTACCATGGTAACCTCAAAAATTAATTAATGCATATTTTTTTTTTAAATAAAAATATTGTGTATTAATTAAAATCAAATTTTAGGAAAATACGAATTTTAAATACGTAAACTGTTTTACTTTTTCTATTTCATGTAAATGCACTGTTTTTTAATTTTGTATTTCCCTGCTTTTTTGAATTTAAAAAAAATTATAAAAAACAATTATTGTAATTGTATTTTTAAAGTATTTTTTTAAATAGTATCTATGTATATGTTGTTTTGTATAAAAAATCAATATATTCTTGAATAAATATATTTTCGTATTTTTTTGAATAATAATCCAACAAATTTAATATAATACAATGCATAAAATATATAAATAACATATTAATTCATAATAATTATGCAAAATAAAAAGAAAGCAAATAAATTAGAAATTACAAACATCAAAGTTAAATGTCCCAATAACATACATCATTAATTCTAATATTTGGTTATTTACTTTTTACAAATAAGTAATTCCCCCAATCCGCGTACTTTTCGTGCATCTGGCAACCGCGCAACAGGCTGCGTATTTTCCTTGGGCACGTAATGCGGGCACGGCGCATGCGCTGGGAATCCCGTACCGTCTGTTGGTCGGCTGCACGCGAACAGCTTTCTCGCCAGTTTACGAGTACCATGAGTCTTCGAAAGATCATTGCGTAAAAAAACGATTATTTAACGAATTCGCCCCTTTTAATTTCAGTTTAGTTTTTTTTGTGCCACCCATTAACGTCTAGTTGGATTTTACGATCGAAGTGTGCTGTTTAGGCAGTGTTTTGTTTATTAGAAAGTTGACATTTTGTGTGGTTACGAAATTCAACAAAAATGTCATCGAAATTTACAGATATCGGCAAAGAGGAGAACAATGAGGCGACTACGGATAGTGGGTTTATAAGTGATTACTTAACTTCGACAGAAATCACGCAGGAATTAGCTTCGCATCCCGAAATTCAGTCAATTGTGGAGGAAGAAGAAGAGAAAGAAAATATGCAACTACCGCTGGACAGTGGCGTGTGCCTCAGTTTTTCCGAGCTAAGTCTGGAAAAATCCGATCTAAACAACCTCAGCAAACCTCAAATCAAAACGACAAGCTGCACGACCACGAGCAACAAAGAAAACACGGAAATTTGGAGGAAATACTACGAGCAAGACAAGGATGGTGACACGTAAGTGATCGCACTTTACTACTACTCAAAACAAAGTTTTTTGGAATACAAAAAAATTCAGTTTATATTGAAACCATCAAAAATTTAAAATTTTGTACTTTTGAATTATCCTGTGCATACCTAATTAAACATATGTAGGTATGTCATTTAGTATGGAAAATCCGCATAATTACATGTTATACAGTATACACCTATGTACATGTAGCAAGGCGCGTGTAAAGCATTAAATATTTGTACTAAAAAATCTAAGGTCATTAAAACATTTGCTTATTTTGTGACATATTACCTACGACCTTTATAGGATTACATGATAAAGTTAATAAACTCATGTTAATAATAATAATAATAAGTCAAATTCCGCAATAAATAATTTCTCATAGATAATTTGTAGGTATAGAAATTCTATAATAGAATAGGTAATAATAGGTAAAGCGAATATTAGCATAAATATTATTTAGCTTACTTGCTATTTCTAGGAATTTCCAATCCTTTATTCTTTTTTGTACACTTTTTAAAATACCATATTGAATGGATACAAAACTAAATATAGAAATGATGTTGAATAATAATTGGAGAAGATTTTTGGCTTAAGATGTAAATTTGAAGAAACGCCTTATTTTACGCACTACAGTGACCTTGGTGCATTTGTTTTACTTCCTGCTTCACTCTATACCTTGACATTTTCTTAATTTTTTGGGTGAAACTTCCGCAACCGGATCCACGAATATTCTATATTTCAAATTATTCATTTTTTAACAAATATTTTTTGTGAATAATTGTTATTATTATTAAATAAATTTTATGATTCATTTAATACATATTTTTATATTGACATAATTGTTTTTGGTTTTTCTCGGTTAAATGTTACCCGGAATTTTTTGTAATTGTGTCCAATTTACTTTCGCAGATAATTTTAATCTGAAGGTTATCGGTTTTTGATAACAAAATATAATAGTCATGTAAATATTTTATGACCTCGAATAGATAAAAAACGTTATCCAGTTACCAAAAGTTCAACCGTAAAATAGTGGAATTCCCAGAATAAAATTAAAATTAGAAAATTTGAAAGGGTTAAAATTTATTACCTGCCGCAAATACCTGACTTTATAATAATCCTAAATTACCTGTAGTTTTTTTTCCAGGCACTTGCACGTCACCATCGTCTGCGGGCGCAAAGAATTGGTCGAAGCCCTGGTGAAAATCGCCCCGCACCACAGACTTCTGGACACCCCTAACGACGACGCGCAAACTCCCCTTCACCTGGCCGTCGAGACGCACCAGCACCAGATTGTCCGGCTACTTTTGGTCGCTGGCGCAAAAAAATCCCCCAGAGACATAAGAGGCAACACGCCTCTGCACGTCGCATGCCAAAACGGCGACATCGACTGCATTAAAGCCCTGCTCGACCCCGTGCAAAAGATCGAACGCGACTTGCTCAATCTGAGCTACCAACCCCCGCAAATCTACAACGACGTCGACCTGAACCAATGGAACTATGTTGGTGAGTACTTTTTATTTTGGACACCCCTGATTTTTATTTTCTGGACACCCCTGATTTTATTTTGGACACCCCTGATTTTTCAATTTTGGACACCCCTGATTTAAATTTGAACACCCTGATTTTTCAATTTTGGACACCCCTGATTTTATTTTGTACATCCCTAATTTTTCAATTTTGGACACCCCTGATTTTATTTTGGACACCCCTGATTTTATTTTGGACACCTCTGATTTTATTTTGGACATCCATGATTTTATTTTGTACACCCCTGATTTTTAAATTTTGGACATCCCTGATTTTATTTTGAACACCCCTGATTTTATTTTGGACATCCCTGATTTTTTAAATTTTGGGCAACCGTGGGAACCCCTGTTAGGAAAGAGAAAACTCCACCATATATTGACCACAAAATAACAAAAAACTGAATTTGACCATAGAAGTTCAAAGTCTAAACTAAAAAACCGACATTCGGTGATTAATTAAAATTTCAAAGGATCCCTTAGAATTTCGAAGTCCAAAAATAAAGTCCACGTACGCGAAAATATATATCAAGTATGCGGAATTTGTCGGACACCGGCAGACGAGTCTGGGATTTTCCCGCCATCATGCGCTGTTGCCGCACCTCGCCGTCATCTAAAGCCTTAACGGCGAAATTCTGCCATGAAAAACGTAAAATTTCTGGAATGTTTTGCGGCTACGTAAAACTTGTGTTGTCGACCCTATTTTTAGTGTGCAGTGCATTCCGGATATGTGGCAACGTGTCATCGTTCAAGAATTAGGAAAATCCAATCGTATAATTCGAGACAATGAAAACAAAAGATATAGGTATACATATTTAAGTGTAAATAAACAAGATCTTATCTTGTATCTGTTAAGTTGTGTTTAATAAAAAATATTAATTATGATAATTAATATTTTGTCGAATAATTAAGAATGTTAATTAAAAAGTAATTTACAGTTTACCACTTGATATTTCAAATAATTGCGGTTTCAAGCAAGAATGTCTTTGTTCACTAAAACAATTATTTATTACATAAGAAAAAATTACGGTGTTTATAATTGGGGATTCCCTTATTATTATTGAAAATTTCTAAATATTTATATTTTGGACACCCCTGTCGATGTTTAAAAAAAAATATTTATTATATCCACAGCATAAATATATCTTTATATTGTGATATATGGCACGCTGTTTTAACATTTAATAAATATTTTTTTAATTTAAGATTTTATTGGTTTAAAATTTTCCCAACTAAAAGTTTTAGGTTTACATTTCTAAATTTACTAACAGTTCACTTCTGTATTAAAAAATATTATTTCTAATCAATTTTTGCAAAAATTTCCATAATTTCTTAATAAAAATAAGTTCTTACTTATAGTTTGTAAATCCTAAATAATCTTTTTATAAAATCATTTAGATTAAATTGGTAAGGTTAAATTTTTTAGTATTTAAAAATAGTGTCGAGACATCTCAAAACAACAATATGGATTAAAATATTTTTCGATTATCAATATTGATAATCGAAAAATATTTTAATCCAAAAATTACCACTACCTAAAATTTAAAAATAATGTGAGAATTTGGGTATATATATCGACTATTATTTAAATGACTACAAATTTAAACCAAAAATTTTGTATAACAAAATATTTGAACTAAATTTTTTTCAAATCAATATTTTTTAGCATAAAGTTTTACAGTTGAATTTTATATTTAAAAAAAATGTTGACAATAAATATTTTTGAATTAAAAAAAATTAACTTAATAAATTTCTGTTAAAACATCATTCAAGTGCTAAACTTTATTCTTCAAGCTATAAACGCTAAAACTAACGGTTAGTAAAATTTGAGCGTGTACAATTAAATTAAACGTAGTGAACCATTAGGGATTCCCATATTAATAATATTGGAAAGTTATAAACATATTTTTCTGTACACGTAATATCTAATAAAAAAATGGTCAAGTATGAAGTACTAAATACAAAAACTCATTTTTATGTATTAATGTTTTAAATCAATACAAGCTTTTGTTAGAAATTAATTAGTATGCTATGAGAAAGCAAAAAAGTCACCAAAATTCGTTAGGTAATCATAGGAAAGTAGTGAAATTAATTGATTTCGTAACACGAAAAAAACAATGCAAATTTTATGCCTGTTTAGGTGAGGGCAGTTGGCGCTGCGCCACAATCCGGTGATTCACGCGCATCCCAAAAATGGAGCGGTTCTCTTTTTAATTTAATAAATTATATTTTCGGACACCATGTGATTGCAGACGCTGCGAGACTGTGCGCAAAAATAGATACGTCGGAATTCAAAATAAACATTTGGTTGGTTTATTTTCAGACGCATTTTTTGTCTTTGGTTTTATTTTTGTTTTAATATAGGTACGCAAAAATTTTCCCTTGTTTTAGTTTTTTGTTTTGGTAGTATTTGGAAAAAAATTGCGTTAAAACGGGCGATTATTATTATTTGGAAATTTTATATACTTGAAAATAATTATTGAACTTTGCTTTTGGTATTTCTACGTATCATGGGTAATTTTCGAAAATTTCCTATTGACGTCAAGAGACTGATTTTTATAAAAACGGTGTAACAAACTTAACGTATCGAAAAACCCATTGACGCACATATATACATTTTCAAAAAACAAAAAACCCCTATAATACAGTACGACAAAATTTAATTTTTTTCCTTCCCATGAATTTTTTTTATAGATTTTGAAAAAAGACCGAAAAAAAATGATCACGTCATTTTTTAAAGTGCTATCCCATAAAATGTTATCCACGGTATTCGGTACATAATATAACAGATTCGTATAGAGAGACCGTATATTTTTATGAAAAATTTATTCACTGAATAAATGGACAACTATTAAGATTATTTATTTATTTTAAAGTTATTTTAATTATATACAGGGTGTTGCACATTCACGAAATACGGGTGTTCACGTTCGTGGTTCATTGAGAGTTTCTGAGGAACGGCAAAAGATATCGATTTGAAATTTTTAAAGCGTTTATAATCCAATTAAGCCTATTTTTCTAAAATATTTTAAACCGGAAGTGACATCAACTTTGTTATTTTAAAACACCCCATATATTTTTACATTTTTAAATTTTACATAAAATTTTGAGTAAAATTACTGTACCTAGAGTAAATAGTTTTGGAGTTATTAATTTTTTTCGTTAGAATATGACAAATGCGCGTCAATCAAAAATAGCCTATAACTTTCTTGCTATTAGGTTTGCAGAAATGGGGGTGGAATTTTTGGAATCTTAAAACGATGTTTAAAAGATTCCATGTCAATTTCTTAACATACGGGTGTTACATTTAAAATAAAAAGTTATTAACGTTTCAAGTTAGCCCAATTTGCCCTGGGGTTTCTCGGGTAATTTGTTGAAAAATGTTAAAGAATTGACATGGAATTTTTTAAACAATGTTTTAAGATTCCAAACATTTTACCCCCATATCCGTAAACCTAATAGCAAACATCTAGAAAACTATTCACTTTAGGTATAGGACATGGTATAGTAATTTTTTTATGTAGAATTTAAAAAAGTAAAAATATATGGGGTGTTCCATTTGAAATAACAAAGTTGATGTCACTTCCAGTCAAACAGGAAGTTGCATTTTGTTCAAAATATTTAAAAAAATAGACTTAATGGATTATAAACGCTTTTAAATTTTAAATCTATATTTTTTCCGTTCTCCAGAAACTTCCGATGGACCACGAATGTGAAACATCCTGTATATCAAGTGGTGTTTTTAGGTTGTGATACCACTAAAGATTCGAAAGCAATGTATAATCGTCAAACTAAAAGATCAAGATTTGTTTGGAAATTTCCAACATATATTTAATATAAGATAAATACAAATCTGTTGCTTTATTAAAAAAAAAATATTTTTTTAACTTAAAAAAAACAAAATTGTTATTTTCTTTAATTATAATTTTTGTATTATGTAAAAACATAAAATATTTGAAGAAAAAAAATGATTTATACCAAAATAGAGAATTAAAAATCTGTTTAGGTTAAAATAATAAGAATGGCTGTGTAAAAAAATTAAATGACGTGATTTTGTGAGACACGGGTACTTAAAATTTTTCATGGGAGAAAAATCGTGTTGTACTGTTTAATATTATACAATTTATGTCATATAATCTTGGAACATCTTATAGCCTTTAAGAGCATAAGATAATAAAAAGCATAAAATAATAAATGTTGTCAATATTTACACAGTTGTAAACCAGAAAACCCAGCTGACTATAAAATTTATGTTTATATATTTCAAAATTTAGCTAAAATAATCATTTTTAAAATCATACAAATGACTTATGGGGATCCACGTTTTGTATGCTCTAAGGTATGTCATGTTTTATACCAATATATAAAATACATATTTTATGGATGTTTTGTGACAAAATTTAAGGTTTCAATATCAAAATACTTTTGCATGACGTCAAATGGTTTATTTTGTAATAATAATGTTTATATTCCAAATGTTGATTGACGATATAAACAATTTTTATTAGAAAACAACTTTTATACTCGAGGAGAATATTATTATACCTCATGCATATGTTACAGCACTGGGTGTATAATTTCGGAAAATCCGCAATGTCGCAATCGAATATTACAATACCGAAACGCACACGGTTTAAAATTAAACCGCGCTTTTACGTTTTAAAACAGCACTCGTGATTTGTGGGCGTTTTTGCACACTGCGGTATTTTGAAGAATTTTGCGAATTTCTCGAAAATTGTTACAAAAACCTCGGGAAATCTAATGACTTGGACAGGATGTTTTTAATGATATTAAGATACTAAATAAGGCAAAGATTGTTGGTTTGATCCAGTCATGGTATAAGTAATATTTATTGTAAAAGTCTTTTGATATTTTTGCCAATGGGAAAAACTTTTTTATTATGCGTTTTACGAGAAAAAATATGTATGCATAAAAACTTGCTCAAAAAAAATTAAGAAAACAATGCTTTAAGAGAGAAGTACCCTGCGTTTTACGAACAAAATCACTCTTAAAAAAAAACTTCCTAAATTCGAAATTTTTGTTTTAAAATTTAATTATATTTGTTTATTTATTACATAGTTATTTAAATGTTAATAGTATATTATGTATCAAGTTTGATGAACGCCATTTTATACACGAATTTAATTTAGGCACGAGCGAGATTGCGAGCGAGTGCTTAAGTTAATGAGTGTATAGAAAAGTTTATAAACGAGGTGCATACTATACTTTTTCTACGACAATTACTTATTATTATCTTAAAATGATTTAAATCAAAAATTTGTATAGAGCGCCATCTAAGAAACAATAGGGGAATCTGTGTGTCACCGTCAAATGTCAAATTTTTACATTTTATAAACATAATTATAAAGGTTATAAATCGAAATGTATTTCTTGAAAAATGACAGTTTTTCACAGTGAAAGTAAAGAAAATGTTTTATGAGCACTTTACAGTGGAGTCCGTGTCCGAATTTAAGTTATAGTTTACTGCCGGCGAAATTAAAAGGTCAGTACAATGTTCATACAAACTTTTCAAATATTGGCGTTAAGAAACTATTTTTGTATTGAGATAATAAAATAATTTTCACATTTAGTATTATTTTACAAGAAAGGCACATTATTTTAACGATTGTATGACATTTGACAACTAACTAACTTAAAACTAACTTCAGACCGTGACTAAAGCGCCGTAAAGCCACAACTTGTCAATGTGTATTTAAAAGGTCACTTGTGTCATGGAAACATGTACGATAAAGGGCGTTTTAAAGGTGGGAGTAGAAAAAATAAATTTTGTATTGTGTACCTATTTGGAAATGTAAACGACTTTCTCTTCGTCTTGAAGCATTCTCATGTTTTCCTAATTTCTAAACACCCTGTACATTTGTTTGATTATTTTTTATGTAAATCCTATTTTTTTAAACAATCAGCAGTTTTTAAGAGAGTCATTTTTTTCGTAAAACACTAAATAAACACACTGTATTATATACAAATTAGTATTTATTTTTGATAATTACATATGTAAATGATAAGGGCTACTTTAAAACAATTTAAAAAATGCCGATACTTTCACTTATAAACATACCTTTAAACATTTAAAGTTCATTATTCGTAACGTTACATTTTAATTGTGTTGAAATGAGTAAACAACAAAACAAAATAAATGATAAAACGTAGAAAACAAACATCGGTTTATGAGTTTGATTTATTCAAATTTAATTAAAGATTTAATCATGAATGATGCATGCCTAGATTTTAATGGAAAATTACCAGAATCGTAATCACTTAGCTAAATTATACTATTAAATTGGCGCGGTGTTGCCAGACGTATCACAAGTTTGTACCCAAAACAAGTTTTTATTTTTTTTGGGTCAAGAAATGAAAATCACTTTGATTCAAAAGATTTGCGCTTTTGAATAGGGCCAAGAGATATGTTTCTTAATCTAAATCAGAAACTCTTTACATAATTTTTTTTTAAATTACTTGAATTCAAGTATCTATTCGTTTAAGGGTATTACAATATTAGCTTACATCAAGAGCAAGCGATTTCTTGGTACAAGAACCAAAAATATTTCTCTTTTGAATGAAGAAAACGTTTTTTAGCGCAAAAAAAGGGATTTTAACAAGAAAACTAATTAAAATGCTTAGGAACTTTCTAATAAAGAAAATTTGTCTTGCTACATCTCGCCTCTGTTGACTTAACAACCGAGCATATAAGCTGATTGTGTTCCACTACACCAAGTTGCCCGACACTGATGAGACCCAATATAGGTCGAAACAGCTGTCTGTCGGTATTTGAAGTTGGTGGAACGCATTCAAAACAAAAAAAACTTTGGCGAGGTGTAGGTTCAATTTTTTCTTATGAATATTACCAGTGATGGGTCAAGAAAGTTTCTTAAAGAAACTAAGATACTACAGTTGCCGTGTCTTTATTTACAAAATAATATTTTTCTATTATATTACCAATGTCAAATTTTTATAAATAGTTCTAAACTAAAGCTGTTTAACAAGGTTTTTATTTGGCAAAATTAGGTATCGTGGTTGACTCTTTAATTCCTTAAAAACTAATAATTTAAAGCGTAACGGTCGGGACGGCAACTGTAGTATCCGTTACGCGTGGAATGGCTCCTTAATGTTTAGCCCGGTTGGGTTAATTCTAGATTCCTTTAGGCCATATTAGTATCTGTGATACAATTGCTGTGTGCAGTCCCGGTTGCATAGTATGTACCGATTGCGGCAAAGGCCACGTCGTTTGACGGTGTGGATCACCTGATGTTCTTACATCTCGCCTCTGTTGACTTAACAACCGAGCATATAAGCTCAGGGAGTCCTTTGTTTTGATTGTGTTCCACTACACCAAGTTGCCCGATACTGATGAGACCCAATATAGGTCGAAACAGCTGTCTGTCGGTATTTGAAGTTGGTGGAACGCATTCAAAACAAAAAACTTTGGCGAGGTGTAGGTTCAATTTTTTGAAATTGAATGTTTACCATATTGTTTTAATTTGACAAATAACTATAAAACAATATTTTGGATTGTTTTTTACTTAGTATTTAATACTAATTAGTAATTACTAATTAGGTACCCACTTAAGTAGGTATATACATTTATACGTAGTTTATGGTATATTTTACTACTATATAGGTAACTGAACTAAATTTGCTTAACAGGAATATTCCTAAATGAACTTTCTATAATAATTACTTTCTTAACATTCTAAGCATATGTTTAGAGTAGACTAATTTTTTCCACTAAAACTTTGCACCTTCTAAGAACCTGCCTATAGGCCATTAAGAATATCCTAGGATCATGCTATATTTCTTTTAAGCATGTTTTTTAGAAGAAATATAGCATGATCCTAAGAATATTCTCACTGGAAGGTTTAAAAAACATTCTTAGAATAAAGTTTGCTATCAGGGATACTTCTTACACTAAGAACTTTTTTCTTTAAGCAATAAATGCTCTTGTATGTTAAAATATTGTTTCTTGCCGCTAATAACTTTTTATTAAGAGAGTTGACTACTTTAGGGGTGTCCAAACAAACAAATTTCGGTTCTATCTGGACTTAAAAATTTAAATTTTTAATAAAAAAATCTTCCAGGTCAAACTTGCGTGCACGTGGCGGCCTCAAACGGCCACGTGGACGTGCTACGTCACTTGTACTGGTACGGGGCGAATATCAACGCGCGCGAGGGATGCTCCGGCTACACAGCCCTGCATTTCGCCGTGGAAAATAGGCACGAGGAGGCGGTCAAATTTTTGCTCGACGAGTGTCCGAAGTTGGACGTAAACGTGACCACGTACGGCGGTAAAAGCGCCCTTCAAACGACCCCGTACATATCCCAAGCCATGACCAGCATGCTGACGGTCAATGGAGTCAGTCCCTACAATAGCGAGGATGAATACGACGACGAATCCGACGACGACGAGGTAGGGTTTCAAAAAATAATTTTCGACATTTTTAATGATATTTTAATCTTTGTTTTAGATGCTGTACAACCCAGTTTTGCCAGTGCGAAATATGGTGGGTGCAACCGCCTAGTTAAATCAATTAGAAAATCAAAAAACCAATAGGAGAAGAATAAAGAAGCAGCGCCGCTTTGAAAAGCAAAGGATAAAAAAGAAAGTTGCCAAAAATTAGATAATAACTGTGATCAAAATAAAATAGCTTATCATCATTAATGGCATTATTTATGAAATATCATACGAAATAGTTGCGTTCAAAAAGCAACAAATCATTTTATTGTTCAATGATTTCGCTACTTATGGTGGTGGTTTGCGTATTTTACAAGCAATGTAAATAATTTTAATCGGTAATTTAAAAGTTGGTTAAAATACGAAGAAACGGCCGCTATAAGTACTTGGAATGACGAAAAGTATCCGTGAGTTTTTTCACGTTATAAATAATTATTATTTAAAGACTATAAGGGAGAACATAAAAAACAAACGCGTTCTGCAGTCAGAAGTATATTTATTGTTAGAAACTTTAGGACCTTGTTTTACTTTAATTTTTTTGTACATAGTAACTATTTTACCAAGTTTATTTTAGTTTTAATTATTGATAAATGTCCTAAATAAAAAAATAAAAACTTGTGCAAATGTTATTCAGTCTTTCATTTCCCAAAAACAGCTTTCTTAAAAGTAGTTTCAAAATAATATGGCATTGTTTAAAAACTTGTCCACACTGTGCTTTATGCAGGGTTTAGAAATATGATATTTATCAAAATATTCATTAACATCTTTATATTTCTTTTTTCATTTATTTCTGTTATGGTTTTTGGTCAAAATTAATAAATCTAGAATAATGGTTTTTAATAAATTAATTAAAATCCACAAATATTACTACAAAGTTTTAATCTAAACAAAAAATTGATTATTTTTGGGTTTTAATAGTTTTAAACAAGTAAAGAATAAAATAGTTTTGATAAATTTATTTATTGTTGTACAACCCAGTTTTGCCAGTGCGAAATATGGTGGGTGCAACCGCCTAGTTAAATCAATTAGAAGAATCAAAAAACCAATAGGAGAAGAATAAAGAAGCAGCGCCGCTTTGAAAAGCAAAGGATAAAAAAGAAAGTTGCCAAAAATTAGATAATAACTGTGATCAAAATAAAAATAGCTTATCATCATTAATGGCATTATTTATGAAATATCATACGAAATAGTTGCGTTCAAAAAGCAACAAATCATTTTTATTGTTCAATGATTTCGCTACTTATGGTGGTGGTTTGCGTATTTTACAAGCAATGTAAATAATTTTAATCGGTAATTTAAAAGTTGGTTAAAATACGAAGAAAACGGCCGATATAAGTACTTGGAATGACGTAAAGTATTCGTGAGTTTTTTCACGTTATAAATAATTATTATTTAAAGACTATAATGGAGAACATAAAAAACAAACGCGTTCTGCAGTCAGAAGTATATTTATTGTTAGAAACTTTAGGACCTTGTTTTACTTTAATTTTTTTGTACATAGTAACTATTTTACCAAGTTTATTTTAGTTTTAATTATTAGATAAATGTTCTAAATAAAAAAATAAAAACTTGTGTAAATATTATTCAGTCTTTCATTTCCCAAAACAGCTTTCTAAAAGTAGTTTCAAAATATGGCATTGTTTAAAAACTTGTCAACACTGTGCTTAAAAATGATATTTATCAAAATATTAGATAAATATCAACATCTTGATATTTCTTTTGTCATTTATTTCTTTTATGCTTTTTGGTCAAAATTAATAAATTTAGAATAATGGTTTTTAATAAATTCATTCAAAACCACAAAAATAACAACGAAGTTTTAATCTAAACAAAAATTGATTATTTTTGGTTTTTGATAGTTTTAAAGAAGTAAATAATAAAATAGTTTTGATAAATTTATTTCTTGTTGTACAACCCAGTTTTGCCAGTGCGAAATATGGTGGGTGCAACCGCCTAGTTAAATCAATTAGAAGAATCAAAAAACCAATAGGAGAAGAATAAAGAAGCAGCGCCGCTTTGAAAAGCAAAGGATAAAAAAGAAAGTTGCCAAAAATTAGATAATAACTGTGATCAAAATAAAAATAGCTTATCATCATTAATGGCATTATTTATGAAATATCATACGAAATAGTTGCGTTCAAAAAGCAACAAATCATTTTTATTGTTCAATGATTTCGCTACTTATGGTGGTGGTTTGCGTATTTTACAAGCAATGTAAATAATTTTAATCGCTAATTTAAAAGTTAAAAGGTTAAAATACGAAGAAAACGGCCGCTATAAGTACTTGGAATGACGAAAAGTATCCGTGAGTTTTTTCACGTTATAAATAATTATTATTTACATACATTGTTTAAAAACTTGTCAACACTGTGCTTTATGCAGGGTTTAGAAATATGATATTTATCAAAATATTTATTAACATCTTTATATTTCTTTTTTCATTTATTTCTGTTACGCTTTTTGGTCAAAATTAATAAATCTAGAATAATGGTTTTTAATAAATTAATTAAAATCCACAAATAGTACTACAAAGTTTTAATCTAAACAAAAAATTGATTATTTTGGTTTTTCATAGTTTTAAAGAAGTAAAGAATAAAATAGTTTTGATAAATTTATTTATTGTTGTACAACCCAGTTTTGCCAGTGCGAAATATGGTGGGTGCAACCGCCTAGTTAAATCAATTAGAAGAATCAAAAAACCAATAGGAGAAGAATAAAGAAGCAGCGCCGCTTTGAAAAGCAAAGGATAAAAAAGAAAGTTGCCAAAAATTAGATAATAACTGTGATCAAAATAAAAATAGCTTATCATCATTAATGGCATTATTTATGAAATATCATACGAAATAGTTGCATTCAAAAAGCAACAAATCATTTTATTATTCAATGATTTCGCTACTTATGGTGGTGGTTTGCGTATTTTACAGGCAATGTAATTTTAATCGGTAATTTAAAAGTTGGTTAAAATACGAAGAAAACGGCCGCTATAAGTACTTGGAATGACGAAAAGTATCCGTGAGTTTTTTCACGTTATAAATAATTATAATTTAAAGACTATAATTATATGGAGAACATAAAAAACAAACGCGTTCTGCAGTCAGAAGTATATTTATTGTTAGAAACTTTAGGACCTTGTTTTACTTAAATTTTTTGTACATAGTAACTATTTTACCAAGTTTATTTTAGTTTTAATTATTGATAAATGTCCTAAATAAAAAAATAAAAACTTGTATAAATGTTATTCCGTCTTTCATTTCCCAAAAACAGCTTTCTTAAAAGTAGTTTCAAAATAATATGGCATTGTTTAAAAACTTGCCAACACTGTGCTTTATGCAGGGTTTAAAAATGATATTTATCAAAATAAAAACAATTCTTTATTGTCTAACAAAATATCCTAAATCACTAAACCTGGTTAACCTTATATTTTCCAGTGAATGTCTTATCATCATTCCTATTCAAATTTTCCAAAATCTTACTCTCAATCAAATCAATGGCTGATCTTGTAATAACCAAAGTCTCGTATTTTAACATAGAATAAACATTTAACCCATAAACAGGCATCAAATTAATATGTTTTATTTCATCAGTTGCCGCCGTAATATTCCTGGGCATTATATCAGTGTCATCTACGAATAAAACTGAGGGTCCCCAGTTGCGGCTTTTGACAAGTTCTTCGAGAAAAGATTTCTCATCTGTGGGGAGTTCCAGGTTATCTACTACATGTAAGTCGTCCTGTGCAAACTTAATTGAGAGAGTCGAGGTTAAACCATTTATTCTTGTGTAAAAAGGCAACATGTAAAAATGTGGGGTTGGTGAGCGGGGCCCATGGGCTATACCACCCCCCTTCCATAGCGGACTTCTAATAGAACTATGTCTGGCCTTTCCCAAACCTTAAAAAATCAAATATATTTCATTAAAATCCCTATCCCAAAAAATATATTTATTTTTATAAAATATTTAAAACGTGTTGTAAAAAAAGTTAAACAAACCAAAATTCACCTTTTTGTGGCCAAGGTTTCCTTCCTCCACCCCGCACCTCAAACTTCAACTTTGTATGAGCATAACTCACATATCTGTACAATTGCTGCCACCTCACATTCTGATGTATAATGTCTATCCTCGGGTTAGCAGCAAAAACTGTAGGATGTAACTCTATCAACCCCAATTTTCTTTCGTCTATACTGTCCAAATTTTCAACCCAAATTTGACGGGGTTTTTGATATACAGAGGGGTATTGCAGATGTCTAGGTTCTATATTTTCATTTGTAGTTAATGCTGAGGAAAAGTACCTGCACAAACTGGTGGTGTTTCGCAGTTTTGGTAGAATATTTGCTAACATGTTCGAATTTGAGTTTACATAACCTTAAAGTTTGACGTTTTAGTCGGTAAGGTAGAATCCCAGAAATATTTCTATGTGTAGAAATCTACTTACCGACGTGTACTGACGTTCGAACATAACCTAAAAAACTGTTAAAAATGTTGACTTTACTACGTAAAATAACACCAAAACCTTCTCTAGGTAAATGAATATTGCATTTTATCATATTATTAATAATTTTTTGTCATAGTTTCTAGAGTTGTTACCCTACAATACTCAAATGATGCCCCTAATTTTGATATGGAAAATCCCTTTGAAAAAGAGAAGAAATCCTGTATCCTCTGCAAGAATAACATAATTCCAGACTATAAAAACGTTAAACTAATATCGCAATTTCAATCACCGTACACTGGAAGAATATATGGCAAACATATAACAGGGTTATGTTCGACACAGCAAAAATTGGTTGAAGCTGAAATTGTTAAGGCCCAAACTGCAGGTTTGATGGCAACATACCTTAAAGAACCTTGCTATCTGGGTGATCCCAAGTTATTTAACGTGGATAAACCATTTAGGCCACACAGATTCTAAATTTAATACTTTATAGGTTAGGCTGTAAATAAATATTAAAATTATTATATATTTTTATTATTAATTACAAATTACATGGTTTTAAGGCAGTCTTTGTCGACTTCTGATAAAAGAACATTCAAATTGTCCATTTTTATTTTATCAACAATGGTTCGAAGAAAACCTCTCTCCGAATCGCTATGATTAGTTAAAATAACATGTGTTCCTTTTTGGGCAGCATCTAACACATCATGGTGCATCATTTCTCCGGTAAGGTATAAATCTGCGTTTATTCCGTTTAAAATGGAGGCCCCAGACCCAGCACAAAGTGCTACAGTATGTATTAAAGAATCTAAAAAATATTATTACTACCTATAATAATTTTCAGAAAAATATACTGCATTTTTACCTAAACCCTTATGTCTAGCAACTGCCACCCTTAAATGCTCAATTCCAACATGTATTTTTACTTTAAAGATGATTTCATCCAAAGCCATGGGTTTTTTTAACGTTAATAATCTTCCCATGCCTATTGTAGGATCATTTTCATTTTTTTCGATTGGTGCACTTTCTCTTGTTTCAAAAACAGAACCCAACCAATCATTTACACCCCCAGAAATAGAGTCCCAAGAAGTATGAGGACTGAACACAGCTATATCATTTTTAATGCATTTTATTACTACTCGTTGTTTCCAATGACTAAAAAATCGACTTAAAATGGTTTATTTATTCACATTTTTAATTTTACCTTTGCGTCACTTTTTTCAAGGGCTGAAAAATATTTGGATGATATGAAATAATGAGCTGAGCCTCGGAACGGATAGCTTCATCAACAACGTCCTCAGTTAGATCGATTGTTAAAAGTGCAGTATCTATATTTTTATTGCTTGTAGGCTCAACTAGCATTCCCACATTGTCCCATGTCCCGGCCAAATTCAACGGCGCAATTGCCGTTAATTTTTTCACAATATTGTTAAGAGGAACACCCATAGTTCCAGAGGTATAATTTTTTATTATATTTGTTGTTTTATTAATATTTTTAACACTACAAAGACGCGATAATGAATTTGTATGCATTTAGTAAAAACGGTGCTACCCTTAAATTGATAATCCGCCGATAAACAAAAAAAATATATTGTGTAAGAATATTACTCACGGTTTTAGGCGTCAGTATAATTTTTTGACTAAATCAGCAGATTTTTTAACGGCTGTTTTAAATATGTTTATTTTCCGAGATAAAAATGCTACTGTATTGAGGTTATGGCAATATAGTGTATTATTGGTTGCATATCATTAAAATATGCCAACTATTTAAATTATAATTTAAATTTTAAAATAAGCCTAATTTAATTTATAAAAATAATGGTGAATATTTTATGTAAATATATATCCATAAAATATTTCCTATGCAATGAAAAATTTACTATGCATAAAAATTAGCTTGTTATGTGGGTAAGAAGCAGAGATATCTCTGGTAAGAAGCCATATATTAATTACTGATAGATTATACAATCTATAAATGTACCGAGTATTTATTTTTATTAATGAGTTAATGTATATATGTGAGTCAGAATATGCAAATTTAAATAAACCGGATAAGAATTGCCTTTGAAAAAAAATTAAACAAAATATAAACACATATGGGTGATTCTGTGATTCTACAAAAGTTATTTTTAATGTATTTTTTCAAAAGCACGTTTGTAGAAAAACATAATAAATATTCAATTTTAAAATATATTCAATTTATCTAAAATTTTTCAATTTCATTACAAACTATCCCAGTCAGCATCCAAATCAGAAAGATTTCAGTATGAAGTCTTTTAAACAACTTCGTGTAGAAGTTCTAAAATGACTTCTTAAACAGCTCCTTTTTATGAGCTCAGAATTCTGAGCTGTTAATGAACTTATAAATAAGAAGTCAATTTTTTTACGTACAAATGAAGATCTTTTCTTGACCTCTTTTTGAACAATTTATTTTGAGCTTACAGAGTATTCTTTTTTCTTACTTCCAATTGAAATCATACTATTAACTCTTTTAGAAGTCAACATGGAGACGTCACAGTTATGACATTTTAATGCGATTACTTTCTTCTCACCGCTGTAACTGCTTGTGTTTGATATAAGAAGCGGCGAAGTAGAATTTAGAGCGTGCTCCATACCAGACGGTCTTAGACCTAGGTAAACGGCTACCCGATACTGACTAGCTCCAAAAGAGCGAAACAGACCGTCTATCGGTGCCGGTGAAGAGCACGCTTGAATTTAAACAAAAGTGAGACGAAGTAATCTCAATTCCTAAAATAAGCGAATACGAGCAAATTATTAAAATGATTTTAATAAAATCAATTTAACAAATTAATAAAATAAACTTGACATGTCAAACTAAGCAACGATACAGTATGCAATTTCTTCATCAGTACCCTAGTAGTACTTCTATATCCAAAACGGACAATTCTAAAAAAGTCTTTTTATAAGTTTATACAAAAGGACTCTTTAAAATGCTTTATTGCGAAGTCAAAGAAAAGGGTTCCTCAAGAGTTCGTTTTTGAGAAGTCTTGATATGATCAATAGGTGGCGCATTCGAAGTCTTAAGAACTTCTTAAAAACTTCTTTCTAATGTTGTATTTGACGTCCAAATCATAAAATAGAGCTTATGCAGACTTAATTAAGACGTCATATTGCTGTCTGGGATATAACATTAAATAATGTATACATTACATGTATACAAAGTATACTTTTCATATCATAGATTGAATAATAGCAATTTTAGAAAAATTGATAATCTTTGTACTCACTTTTACCCTTCAGTTCTGTGTCCAATGTTAAAATTCAAAATTCCTGCAAAATATTGAAGTTTAAACGTCAAATCCTCGTTTTAACTCAAGTGTTGGTAAAAAAATTACCTACAGAGCCCGCCCTTTGCACGACAGTCATCTTGAAAACAATGCAAGCGGCGAAGTTGTGGTGAATGCACGTATAGTTCCAATCAAAATTTCAGTACTGTGGAGAGTAGCTATTTTCTTACGTATATATATTTCATTGTAATTTATATAAGGCTATATGTGATTTGTTGATAAGAAGCATCCACAAATTTGTATCCAATTCATCAATACCGTGTCGTCAGTTCCATGTTCGATGTTTCGGTTATCTTTTTTCGCAAACTTTAATTGTTTATTTAATGTCATTATAAACTCATATAAATTTGGTGTTGCTCCCATATCTAATAATTGAGATATCGGTATATATACCCAAAATCCACCAGCCGCCACTGATGTGTGGTATTATTTGATTTTAAGATATTTAATGTATAATATGCTCAAAGTTGCAATAAATCTTATATTTTCCAATAAATTATTTATTTAATTAGTACCCTGGTATACTCGTCACTTCCCTTGCATTCAAATTTAGAAAACAGATATTTCAGAAACTGTTTGAAAAAGTGACTGGCCCGGTCTGGAACAGTATATTTATTATATTATCTATGTTCTCATAATAAAATAATGTTTAATTTTTCCGAAAACTATATAAACAAAAAAGGTCAAAAGTTGCCCAACTTTTGGAGAATCACCCATATACATGTATGTAATGTATGTAAGTAATGGCCCATTGATAGTATCATGGCTTAATAATGGCATTTTTAGCCAAAGCTTTCAGTCTATTATTTGTATATTTTACCATAAAAGACCCATACATTGCAATTTTCAGTATAAAGTTAATGGGACTTGTTAAATTTAAATAAGTAAGTAGGTGCATTTTTAATTTTACAAATTTTAGAACCCTTATTACAGACAAAATACCGCCAAAGAATTTAGTAGAAAGGTTTAATTAATAAGGTCAAAATTGGTGCAGTTGTATAAACAATTTATTTAAAATAAGATATTTCTTTACAATATAAACAGCTCATTATAATTTAATAAAATCTGGAAATTTCAATATTGTATATTTAATTGCCAAGGACACTAATAAAATAAATATACTGTAAGATTTATGCATAAAAGTCTTATATTTTAAATTATATTAAATTAAAATTCTCAAAGCAATCCAATAAAAGCCCTACAAGACACAAGAAACCATAAACTCACCCCCACTCCAAAAACCCAGAGAATCATCAAATCAAATCGCCTATGGGGGAAATCCCGCGAAATCCGACAACACGGCCGCACGAGCTGTGATATAATAGTCGGTGATTGGTCGGTACGCGCGGCAATCGAACATTTCGCGTATCGTGCTTTCCATCGGACCGACAACGTCAACGTCAAAAAAACCATCCCTCCACGCCAAAGCGCACTGCGAGATTACCATCAACGAACAAATCACGGCGAAGTAACGCCGTTGCCGCAACAGGCGCAGCCTACTGTTTGAAACTGTTTCGTGGGGACTGTTTCGTGATTTTGTGCCGTTTATTGCGATGAGCAGCGGTCTGGACGTGCTCAGCGGGTCGTTGAGGGTCCGCAACAGCACCACAGCGGTGGGGCCGGTGAAAAATGTGAACTGCAAGGTGGTCAGCGAGGTAAAATCGTGTCCCAGTGTCATGTCGCCCGAGACGAAGCGTCTGTTGCCGCCGAACACGGAAACCGTTCAAACGAAACCGTTTCCCATAAGAGGTGAGTGCGTTTTGTTTGAAAAGCCGATTGCGATATTTTTTCAAGTTTCTTACAGCTGAAAAATGTCAATGCGTGACGCGCATGCGCCCCAAGTTCGATTACACGTGCTTTATGTGTGTTATCGTTGTTTTTAGAGGCAGGCCCGTAGTCAGCCCAACATTTTAGGCTTTATTTTTAAATGGGTGTATGAAATTAGTAAAAACATGTTAGTTTTGTTACAAGTTTAGAAACAATAATCCCACGTTGGTAAATTTTATGTCTTGTAAAATTTGATGAATCAAAAAACCCAGGCTGTAAAAATAATTTTGACCTAAATAATTACCTTATTATTGCACCGCAAAATCACTTTATGAGACATAACGTATTCTTTTTACTTATTAAGACAAATTTTGCTGCTTGGGTATTATGTTCAATTTTATTTTCCACCAAATGTGCATGGTGATGGTTAATAAATAACAATTTCACTTTTTGAAGCCAAAATTTAAAAAAGGTTTCGATGATATAATTTTTCTTAAAACTTCATTCTTTTTATAAAAATCATTAATAACTTAATCATTATTACAGTTTATTCATATTGAAGTATTTCTAGATAAGTTAAAGAACAGGTTTGGGATAAGGGGATGTTTGCTTTAAATCCGGTCTAGAAATGTAGTGCGTCTGGTCAGCTAATTAAAAAAAATTAACAGCATTGGATAAAAAATAATTATTTGACATTCAAGTTAAAATTATGGTAGAATTACCCTTATATTAATTACACTAGTTTACAAAATCGAAAAAAAATTCTGCACACCATATCCCATTATAATTTTAAGATACCTACATGTTATGTATGAATTTCCAATTTTTTTTTCAATTTTTGGGTTTTTGGGTTTGACGTTTTTGAGTAGGTATAGCTTGAAATCCAATTGATCAATTTACCTAAACAAGCCCTTAAATGGAAGGTATTTGAAGTTGTGAATTTTTAGTGGAAGACCAAAATTCAACTTTTTGACGATTTTTAGTTTTTTTCTTTTATTTTGTATTATGTTTATTCTTTATAATAAATACCTAATTAAAGTGCATGATTGGAATTTTTTGAGTTTTTTACGTACTTTTTTCACCAAAAACATTATTCAAAATTTAAATTTGACATGACTCCGCAAACGTGAATTCTTTTATTTATCGTGTTGGCTTAGTGACATTTTACTGTTTCTTTTTGACATTTCAACAAGGTATTTTTATCATTGTTTATTTAGTTAATATAAGTGTAAAAGATGTAGAGTTCAAGTGCGTAAATAACCCGGACAATCTGGGCGACGTAAGTGATGAGCACGGAGCACGTTTTCACCAGCAAATGAAGGCTATGGAGCGGCGGTATCACGGCTTCTGGGATGCAGCCTCATACGAGAAGCGGAATACAAAAAGCAACAAAGAAGAAGCCAGAATTTTTTGTAACCTATGCTTATTACAACAAAATAAAACTTTCAATATCTTCAATGTTCAATATAGAATTTAATTTCAATACTTACCGTAATATCCATAATGACTAAATTCACATAAATCACCTAGTTCAATTAACTAAACCCACAGAATAAACCACTTACAAAAGAATCATAAAATAGACTTATAGAAAAAGAATAAACAAAATATTGCGTAAATAACCACAGATTTGTTCTTTAAACAGTTCAGAATTTTATAACCAAAACAAACCTAAAGAAGGAATCTGTATTTATTTTATTGGTTACTGTGATGGCTACAAGATGGCGATAGTGTTAAAATATGTTTATTTTAGAGTAGAAATATAATTTCGATTAAATCGATTTATTATAAGAAAAATAATACCATTTATTATTGAATTTTGAAAAACGTGTGAAGTATAATTTATCTAAAATTCCGCAACAGTGTTGCCACAACACCTGCTTATTTCCTTGGATGTAGGCGTGCCTGCCTCGCGTTTGCTAATACGGGAGAAGGAGACAACTATGATATCGCATTGTAATAGAACGAGACAACAAGGCTAACGCCAATCGTGAGTCTAAATTAGTTCAGGCATGCATCTAGCTAAAAATATTAGTTTAAATTGCGGTCGTTTCAAATTCAAATAATTAAAATGTTGCTGGGTATTCCACACAAAAAATTAAGTGTGATTTTCGAGTTTATTCAGTGTCGAATATTGTTAAGATGACAACAATAAAAAACCATAACCCATGTCAAAACATCATCAAAATATTGTTTTTTGACACCCAACTGTCAAAATCTCAAAATTAAAAGTTTGCCTCACAGTTAAAGATGAACGCGGCAAAAAAATCTTCCGGTTTTCCAAAGGACAGCAGGACGGAACAGCTGCTGCTGAAAGCGATGGACTTCCTGCAGAAAGCGCAAATTCAGCCCACGTACTCGAACATAAAAACTTGCCTTGCGCAAATCACGAAAAGCGAAAACGCTGTCAAAGAGCTGCCGCATTGCCTGAAGCGGGCAGTCGATTTGGGCATTTTGAATAAACGCAACGAAAAATATATTTTGAACGTGAAACCCCAGAAAAAAATCGCCATAAGGAAAAAAAAATTGGAAGTGCTGAGCACCAAAAACTTCTTCCGCAAAAAGCCTTTAGGGTCGAACCAATTTATCTTGGATTCTAAAAAAAATTTGAAAGAAAAGCCTGTTTTAAATCAAGTGAAAAGGAAGGAAGACAAAAGTAATGGCCAAAAGCTAAAGGTGTACTTCTACGGTGTATTCAATTAAAATTTAATAAAATTAAATTTTGATATTGACATAATTTTATTTACAACATAACATTCTTTTAGTTTAGACAATAGTTATTTGTTTTACAAGTGTTGAAAGTTGCTCACGAGGCCGTTAGGCCGAGTGTGCATTAACACGAGCTTGAAGAAAGCTTCACTCACAAGTGAAACACAATGTTTTTCTACGACCCTTTTATTTTTTATTATATTCAAATACAAAACAAAATAACCTAAAAACGTGTTTGACAGCTGTTAAAATTACTTTAATCCTATTCTTTTAATTTTTAAGGTATAAGTTCTCAATTTAAATAAAGGCACTAAAAATTAGAATTTAGTATGCAAACACAATTAATTGCCTTCTAAATGATATTTAGACATACATAACAAATACATTGTATTTAATACAATACAAATTTTGAACCGAATGTCAAACGATACTGTCAATTTCTTTTCACACAGACCTGTCACTTTTCACACAGAAATGTCACTTTACATTCGTGTTTTGCCTTGCCAATGAAAAGATTCATTTTCTAAGCAACGATGCCATTACGAAATGTGACTTTTACATAGTGGTCGTAGAAAAAAATGTTTTAGTACTGCGCAAAGTTGTGCTCTCGCAGTGCCAGTGTTGCCAGGTCGTTTTAAATACTTTAACACAGAAAAGAAAAATTAAAAACCAAATGAATATTTTATATAAAGATATTTATAATAACTTTTTAAATACCTACAGTTCATTTTTTTTATTATCTGGACTCGTGTTATTTGTTAGGTTGGTGGCTTATGCCAGTTTGACTTAGTATTTTTAGTATTTAAAAATGGTATTTCTGCTAAAGAATTTAATTAAATACTTTGACACTGTCAAATTGACAATAATATTTATTATTGATAATTTACTTACCTATCAATTATAAAAAAAGATAATTATGCCAAAAATAATAGCAACGAATTCGAATGTAAAAGCTTTTTTGAGTGCAAAACTTCATTTTGATGAAATTATGCCAAATGCCTCAATGAAAGAAAAAGTACATCACCTTATGGACATTTTTGGAGTAAAAAAGTAACGAATTTGGTTTTATTAATATTACATTACACATTATTTTCACATTATTCACCATTGGACAACATTTACATTCACAAAAAATTTTAATTTCTTTTCAAAGCGAAGATTATTATCCGCTAGGAATCTTTCTCTTCTGGGCCATAAAGCAACCTATATTTAACAACGTTTTTTATATGATTTTACTCATCCAAGCACCACCAAAGCCAAATTAATTGCATTTTTCACTACGAATTTCGACAACTCAACTTGACAACTGCACAATGTAACCTACAATAATTTATACATAACCACAATTAGATTTATAACTAGCTTAGTTGGTTTTAATCAATGCGACCAATCAAAACCCTAAACTTGCAACGTTGCCACAGTCCAGATAAAAATGTTAAAATTGAAAAAAGTTAGGTTACCTATGTTATAAAAACCGAGGTAACGCCACTATCAATAATTGTTTATGGCAATAAACAATAGCATTTCTTAAAGCAGTATAAAACTGTAAAACACCGTTATTATAAATTACAATAAAACTTTATCTATGCACAATATAAAACTTGATATAAAAATAATAAAATAAAACAAACAGACGCCACTGACTGGGCTAAATTCATCCTATCCATTGGCTCAGGTATCCTATTTTCAGTCCACTACTAAACACTTGACAAACGCTTTGTCGCTGTCTCAAAAAATCAATTCGAGTAATTCTCAAAAAGTGTAAAAATAGACTGGCAGTTTTTTCGAGCAGTTCAACGATTCTTTTTGGCGCTAGCATTGTGTTTGTGTTATTATTTAGCAACAATTTTGTTTGCATTTTTTAAATATAAAACCCGTGGTTTATCAGAAATTCCGCAGTGTTGCGCTGAAGTTAACAAAAATATGAGTTTACGCAAAGAAAGTTCGCCCATACCCCCTAGTAAATACAGGGAGAGACTCAAGTCCCTGCATATTGGTGAGTTTAGTCATAAATATTCTCGAATTTATATTACGTAAGGAAGTATTGTTTAGACCTTGTATATCATGTGGTGTTAATTTTTACTATTAAAATCCATCAAACATTTAAATTTTGCTAATTTATTGCAAGATAAAATAAGATCTTGGTAGATTTTACCAGTTTTAAATTTATCTTTTCAAACAAAAGCACATTTTAAAACTGTTTTAGGTTATTTTAGACGGTTTTACGAAAACATCCCAAACCTGTTTTAAAAACATAGAACTCTTAAAATTGC